ATGGAGATCCGTTCAGCCGTTTAGGCTACAAACGCTAACAAACATCTATCCATCCATCTAAACTTTCGCATTTATAATATTAGTAAGATTACTTTACAGTGGTAGAGCCCGCTTTAACATCTTCGCACTGTAGGGCTCTGCAATACCACGACCACACAAGACAGGCGTGAAGTGGAAGCAATTCCGCCTACAGTCTGATGAGTGTGGTGCCGGAGGACTAATTTTAGTCCCTTTCCGTTTCCACCCTTTTCTTAAGAGAAAAGAATAGGAAGGAAAAGTGGATTTGACGGTTGAGATGCATAGGAAGGGTAAATGTCCTCTTTATGTGCGTCTCCGTCAATGAAGGGTAGGCAGCGCTGCAACTCCGGATGTTTATGTGCAGCGGTCGCTTTCCATTTCGGTGGATTAATGCCGCTTGCTCGTTTGCTACCTAATATTATAAAAAAAAACTATCCCCACTAAGGAAGACCTACATTATTAGACTAGAAACAGTCTGCACTTCATATATCTGAATTTCTTCATAGTACATATCATAATGTTTACATGATGGTAATACAAAGAGAAATGATATATTTTTTTTTATGTATTGAAATGACTTAAAAATGACTGTCCCTTTCTAGCATATCATTTTTTTCAATTTACTCATCTCCTAAGTTGAATAGCGTGATATTATGTAGCCTAAAGCGTGACGTAAGTGTAGGGCTTTTTATTGAAAAAAGAATTATTCAAAAATATGCTGTAATTGCTGACATCTTAGGCAACAAAGAAGTGTGTGTTTACGCTTTATTATAATAGTATAGATATACTCTGACATTTTACGTAATAAAGTGTGTTTATATTTTCAGGATCCGGAGATATTCAATCAAGAATATATCGAGGAGGAAGAAACGGATGGAATAGAATTAAAGGATTCTGAAACAAATCCACTTGAATAGTAAGTTAATACATTAAATACAAACATTCATACATTAACTAAAACAAACAGTAAGATCATATTAGGGTTGTAACTAAAGCCATTTTAACGGAAGCGGATGCGGAGACGAATGGCTTCACCTCTGCAGATGTTAACGGAAGCGGAGGTCAATAATAAAATATTATTTGCGAATTATTAAAGAAATAAAAAGGAAAATTACGTTGATTTAAAATACAGATTGGTACAAAATTACAAGATACAGTTTATTATGCAAATACTCGTATAATGTATAACAATTATAGTTACTTGACATCAAGCCTGCGCAAAAACGATATCTAATCGCCCCACTCGCTTTAAAGACGTAAATTAACCTCTGTTATAACTCCGCATAAGAAATAACGGAAGCGGATGCGGAGTTATCATTTCTCGTGGAAGTTCCGCACTTGCGGATGCGGAAGCGGAGTTCCGTTACAACCCTAGCTTATAGTCTAGATGTAGTCGCCAATCTAACAAACTAACAAACATCCAAACAATATCGTATTTATAATATTAAATACTAGCTGTTAAACCTGTCTTCGTCGTGAAAAAAAGATAAAAACACAGCCTATTTTATTCACAGATAAATTACCTTTCTAACGTTGAAAGAATTTTTTAAAACGGCCCAGTAGTTTCTGAGTTATTTCAATACATACAAAACTACAAATCTTTCCTCTTTATAATATGACTAGCTGTTGCTTGCGACTTCGTCCCGGTGAAATTAAAATAAAATAAAAGATATCGTTTATCTTACTCACAGATAAATTACCTTTTTTACGGTGAAGGAATTTTTAAAATAGGTCCATTACTTTTTGAGTTATTCAAACACAAACAAAAATAAAAATCTTTCCTCTTTATAATATTACTCTAAAATTAAAAAAATTATTTTTTTTCAGTTCTGACACCGATTCCGAGGAATTAGGCCCAGATGACATATGTAGAGCATTATTAACACCTGAGACACAGGACGAAAAGAAGACAACAAAGAGGAAGCAAGAAGATGGTAGCGGAGACGCTGATGTGAACAGAGATGCTCCCTCTTGCTCTAAATCTAGGAAAACAGATGAAACGGATAACAAGGGTAAAGGTAAAAATGGTAATAATTCAGGTTCGGATGATGATAAAGATGGAAATAGAATAAAATTAAAGGGAAAACAATTACGACTTAAAAGGATGGTGATTAGGACGGAAATAGAGACTAGGAGAGTGCCTAGACAGGGTTCTAATGAGAATCGGAGAGAGTCTGGGGAGGGTTCTAATGAGAATATGAGAGAATCAGGAGAGGGTTCTAATGAGAATATGAGAGAATCTGGGGAGGGTTCTAATGAGAATCGGAGAGAATCTGGGGAGGGTTCTAATGAGAATCGGAGAGAATCTGGGGAGGGTTCTAATGAGAAGGGGGAGTCTGGAGAGGGTTCAAGTGGGAATGGGAGAGAATCTAGAGGGGTAGATGTTAATTTCGGTGCAAGCACATCTTGGGAGAGATCGAGACATGTGAGAGGTTTTGTATGCGTAAGAAGAAATCGTGCTCCAGAAGAAGTGGATTATCCCTTACATAGGGCGGTTTATGTGAACTTTGATGCCCCACCTGAAGTTAATGATGATCGTAACTTACCTTCAGTGTTTTCCGATACAATAACTTTTTATAATACCGCGGGTAGATTGAGAACTGTGGTATTGGTGACCGATTCGTCTGTTAGACAGTTTGGTAGGGCTGATGGGGAGAATATAACTTATGTTAACTTTGGTCCTAATGGTCCTGTGAGATTTGAGGGCTCCCCCCCCGC